CTCCTCTCATGATCTTCTCTGCCTTCCTCTTGCGCTCAGCCTGGGCGCTGGGCTTGAGCGCTGGGGCACAGACCGTGCCGAGCCCCCTGTGCTTGCCCTTGACCTCCTTCGCGTGGGCGTAGCACTTCAGGCAGACGCGGTGCCCGAAGTGCGTGCGTAGGTCGTGGCCGCCGCCGTCCGCGTCGAGCGAGCCAGAGCCGCTGGGCAGCGGCGCAGCAGGCTGGGCCTCGCCGCCCCCGTCGCCTGCCGACGGCGGCTCCTCCTCAGCACGCAGGTCACCGTCACCAGCTGATCCCAGAATCTGGCTTTCGCCACGATGCTGAACGAAGGAGGAGCTCGCCGCGCTGCTGCTCGCCTCACCGCTGGCATGGTTGGGCTGGCTCTCGTCCTCCACGAAGCGGCGGGCTGCTGCGACCGCCACCACGGCGGCTCCAGCGTGCGCCAGGGCCGAGGCGCTCGGCCGCTTCTTGCCTCCGCTGGTGTAGGCGTCGGGAGCGAAGGCCTTCGGCGCGCAGGCCAGCGCCGTGAGCTTCTTGGTCGTAATGTCAGCGAAGGCCGACCGCAGGCACCGCAGGCAGTGGAGCGCCTGGACGCCCTCGACGCCGCCCTCGATCTTGACCAGCTCGTGCTTGGTGATGTAGAGCCTGGGGGCCTTGGACTGAGGCCCCCTGTGCTTGTCGCGAAAGCCGATCCTGAGATCAGCAGCTTCGGCGCCGGCTTGCGAAACCCAGAAGGTCGCGCTGTCCAAGGTGGGCGCTCTCGTCTTCCTCGCCTCGCGCGCCTGCTCTGGCGCTCTGAAGTGGTCCGTGACAAACTTCGCCACTCGGTCAGCTTCGCGGTTGCCACGCCGACGTCGGAATGTGATCTTGCCCTCGCCCACCTCCTTGAAAGTCGCGTGGCCCTTGACCTTCAACGCCGTGAAGCCGTCGCTGCTGAGGTCGCCGAAGTCGTCCAGCGCGTGCCAAATCCTGCGCCAGATCTCGCCCCAGGCGGACTTGTGCGAGGTAGTGGCCTCACGTCCTCTCTCCAGCAACCCTTTGACCACGTAGTCGGCGTCGAAGTGGGCCGTGATGGGAGGAAGCGAGTGCCTGAGGATCGCGTAGAGCGAGAGCAGCTCCGCGCCGTCGATTGACTGGATTGGCCCAGGCACAGGGGCGCCCATGGCATTGACGCAAGATCCCTTGCCTGGATCTTCTCCTTCCGGTCCAGGCGGCAGCTCGACTACTGCGCATCCTGCCATGGCCAGCGAAGTGCCAGCCTCGTAGCAGCAGCCGTCGGCAAACAGCTCGGTGTTGATGAACGGGTCGGCGTCTCCTTTGAGCCAACGCAGCCCCTGGAGCAGGTCATCCTGCGGGGGGCGCCAGTCGTGGCTGGGCTCGGGCAGCAGGAGCCGCTCGAACAGTGTCTTGATCGTGATGCTGGACTCGAACTGCTTGAACTTCTCCAGCTCCTCAGGCAGCTCGAAACTGGGCCAGCTGTCGCAGCGCTCCAGGTGGCGGTGCCGCAGGGTGCCCAGGGAGTGCGGGTGCAGCGCGCAGTGCGGCGTGGGAGCGAGCCGCGGCGCTGCCTCATACCTTCACTGGTTGAGCCACTGACCGTGAACCAGCAGCGACCTCGCGTAGCCCCTCTGCTTGTCGTCCAGGGGCTTCCACTTGCGGTCCTCGAAGGGGGAGGCTTTGCCTGTGTTGAGCCACCTGCGCACCTGTGGGACGAAGGCGCCGTTGATGATGCCCTCGTGCGTGTCAGCCGCTGTCGTAGCTGCCAGGCCTGCACGTCCTTGCGCAGCACCTGCTTGATGTACCAGGGCGACGAGCTCGCGATGTCGATGGCCTCACAGGTGTTGTGCCTGAGCCACTGGTCGAAGCTGCCTGCCTGAACGGGTCCTCGTCGCGCTCCGTCGTCTCGTAGCGCTCGTTGGCGTCGACGAGGTCGGCGAGACCCTGCGACCACAGCCGGCTTGCAGCGATGGTCGGGCGCGCCCGAATCGGCCGCTGCCGAAGCGACCTGCCCTGCAGGAAGGCATCCGTGGGCGTAGTAGGCGCCCCAGGGGCGTTGACCACCACGTCGTCGCCCGTCATCTTGCTGAGGACCCGCAGCGCCCGAAGCCGACGGAGGGGAAAGTCGACCTGCGCGCAATCCTTGATCAAGATCGCCACACTCTTGTGCCAGGCGGTGGCCTTGGAGCACTTGGGGATGCGCGGCGGGCTGGGTACCGCAACCTTGGCCATCTTGAGTCGTGGCCTGGCGGCGCGGCCTGCGTAGTCGTCGCACTCGCGAGCCAGGCCCGCGGCGTCGATGATGTTCCACTCGGCCTGGTAGACGAACAGCTGCCAGCGCGAGGAGAGCGAGCTCGTGGCCTGCATGGCCTGCCGAGTGGCCTCCCAGGGAGCTGGGCGGTCACTGCTGCAGCACGCGGCGGGCAGCGGGCAGGGCAGGCGCTTGGGGATCTCCATGATCTGCATCTTCCTGGCGAAGGCGCTGCCGTCGACCCTCAGCTGGACAGGGAAGTGCGGCGCCAGGTTCCAGCCGTGCAGCACCTTGGCCTCCGCTTCGCCGAAGGTCGCACTGATGACCCAGTAGTCGATGATGCGCCCCCCAGGGCGGCAGGTGCCCTCGACGGGAGCGACCACCTTGAGCTTGAGTGCGTTGGGAAAGCCTGACGCCGCCAGCTCCTGCGGCTCCAGGTTGAAGTCCCCGCCAATGATGATGGGCTTGGCGATCTGCTTCGCCGCGCGGAAGACGGCCTGCAGCACCTGGTAGTTGAAGTCGGACATGCCCTCGCTGTCATTGAGGTAGACGTTGAACCAGGCAACTCCGCCAGGCACGATGCCAGCGAAGTGGGCAACCGATGCCCTGCCAGGGAAGAGCTCGAAGCCGCTCTTCATCTCAAAGGCGCCGAGGCCGTGCGCACGGGGCGCCAGCTGCAGCAGCCCTCCATGGCCGTGAAGGCCTGGGCCAGTGCCCACTGCGGGGCACACAAGGGCATGCCGGCCCTGCTTCTTGAGCTTGTCGGTCACCTCCGCGCACCGAAAGTCGGAGAGGTGAGTCTCCTGCACCGAGATCATATCTGCGTTGCGCACCTGGTTCTCGGCGAGCAGCGCCTCGAACCTACTGTAGGCGTTGGCGTTGATGGTGAGCGCCGACCACCAGCGCCCCTTGGCAGAGCTACCCGCCTGCCGTCTTGGATCGCTTGGCTGCGCGGATGGTCTCCAGGGCCTCGGCGAGTCGCTTGCGCTCGCCCTCATCCTGGCAGGAGCCCAGCAGGCCGCCAGGATCATCACCAGCCATGAAAACATCGAAAGCCTCATCGGGCGTGGTCCAGTGCGATGGGCCGCCCGCGGCAGCGGCCGCTCCGCCTCCAGCTGCAGCTCCTTCAGGGGGGGCTGGCTCTTGGGCTGCAGGCGGCACGTGCAGCTGCGGCTCGGTCGGCTTGCTGGCGTTGTCGCGCTCGTCGACCGCTGCCTGGAGGGACTTGAGAAAGTCGGCGGGCGTGGTGCCCTCAGTGGGGACCTCTCCGAACTTGGCCTTGAGCTGCTGCACCGTGACCCCGCCAGCTGCGGGTGTGCTCGCGCCGTACAGCTTCGCCGCGTCCTGCTTCGCCGACTCGAGCTCCTTCTCCAACTTAGCCACTTCAGCCTCCGAGGTAGATACCGCATCCAGCAGCTTGAGAGCCTTGCCCTTACTGCTTGCCAAAAGGTCCTTCGCGTGCTGGAGGGCCCTGGCGGCTTTGTCGACAGCTTGAGGAGCTTCACGACCAGCAGCGCCAAGTAGCCCAGCAGCAGCAGCGCGCCTGGCGTTCTCAACCTTCTGCCTGGAAGAATGAGACAAGGCGTTCTTCGTTTTTTTTTTTCGTAGATGTCGATGGGAAGCTCGGACCACTCCTTGACGTCGCTGGGCGAGAGGGTAGCGCCTGCGGCTGGCTGCGGCCATTGTGCCTGCGGGGCTCCTCCTTGCTTGGCCCATGGCTTCCATCCGCCCTGCTTGAGAGCAGGCCACCTACGCTGCATCCAGAAATCGGTTCCTTTCGGCCCAGCGTTCCAAGGACGAGGTGGCGGCTTTGCTTCTCCACAATTGTTGCATGTCCGACGGCTCTTGGTATTGAACTCACCGCAACTGCACTTCCAATACTCTGCCATGGCGAAAGCACACAGGCGAGTACAGTCAGCAGACACAGGTGGCGGGTGAGTTTGCCGAGCACAGTGGTGCCAGCAAGGAAAACTTGGGCGAGCCGCGGACTAGCGGTATCCGTGTCCTCCACAGGGGGAGGCATGGTCTTGAGCCAAAATGGCTACGGAAGTGCGCGCGCATGCGTGTGTGTGTGTGTGTGTGTGTGTTTGTGTGTGTGTGTGTGTTTGTGTGTTTGTGTGGGTGGGTGGGTGGGTGGGTGGATGCGTGGGTGGGCGATTGGGTGTGCGTGCGTGGGTGTATGTGTCAGTGTCTGTGCGTGTGCGTGTGCGTGTGCGTGTGCGCGTGCGTGTGTGCGTGTGCGTGTGCGTGTGCGTGTGCGTGTGTCTGTGTCTGTGTGTGGGTGGGCTTGTGTGCGTGTGTGTGGGCTTGTGTGTATGCGTTGGCTGGTGTGTGTGTGTGTGTGTGTTTGTGTTTGTGTGTATGGGCTCGTGTGTGCGTGTGTGCGTGTGTGGGCTCGTGTGTGCGTGTGTGCGTGCGTGTGTGTGTGTGTGTGTGTGTGTGTGTGTGTGCGTGTGTTTGTGAGTATGTGCGTGTATGTGTGTATGTGTGTATGTGTACGCGTGTGCTTGCGTGGGTGAGTGCTTGCGTGGGTGCGTGAGTGTGTGCGTGTGTGCGCGCGCTTGTGTGTGTGCGCGTGAGGTGTGTATTTGTGCGGGTGTATGCGTGCGTGCTTGTCTCTCCCCTCGAGCGTCCTCCTTGTTCCCTCGAGCGTCCTTCTTGTTTCCTCGAGGGTCGTTCATGTTCCCTCGAGCGTCATCCTTGTTCCTTTCGTCTCTCTCTCTCTCTCTCTGTTTTTGTCTCCCTCGAGCGTCCTTCTTGTTCCAGTACGGGCACAGCTGGTGCCCGTAGCCAATTGAAGGAGGTCTGCGGACGTCCTGGGGCGCAGGCTGGGAGGGGGCGGCACATCGCTGGAAGTGCGGGGCGAGGCCGCGCGGAGGAGGAGGAGGAGGAGGAGGAGGAGGAGGAGGAGAAAGAGGAGGAGGTGCGCGGTCTACGGCGCCTTGTAAGACGAGGCCAGGACGAGGACAAGTTCGACTGAAGATAAGTCGAGAATATCTGAGATCTGGCGGCTCTGCAAAATGCCTCTGGCGCTGCGGCCTTCTCAGTACGTTCCGGAACGCTCTGGGAGCGTTCCAGAACGCCCTGGAACGGATTTATTCTCGTCCCAGCCCCGCCCGACATTGGTAGCCTCCCAGGGGCAGTCTGCTGCAGCGACGAGAAGACTGCGAATGGAAGCGCCTGCGCTCTGAGCCGCCTCTGTGCGAAGAGCCCATGCTTAGAACAATAAGCTTTTGACGCCCCGCGCGAATTTCTTGGATCCGCACTGGATTCCCCTCGCTAGCGCGCGGAGCGCGCCAGGGGCGGCGCCGTAGGCGCCGCTGGGGGGTCCCCAGCGCGGATCCAAGAAATCCGCGCGGAGCGCCAAAAGTTTATGTTTATGTTTGTTCTTCTTCTTTGAATGCTGTGAGCTATGCAGAAACAAGAGCGCTCGACGCCATCAGAGCTCTGTCGCGAGAGGGCGGGGAACGCGAGGGTGCCTGGAGGAGGAGGAGGAGCGCAGCGTAGGAGTGGAGGAGGAGGAGGAGGAGGAGGAGGAGGAGGAGGAGGAGGAGGAGGAGGAGGAGGAGGAGGAGAGAAGGGAGGGGGAGGACGAGGACGAGGAGGAGGAGGAGTAGAAGGAGGAGGCGGAGGAGGACGACGAAGAGACGACTGGAGGAGGAGGAGGAGGAGGAGGAGGGAGGAGGAGGAGGCGGAGGAGGAGGAGGAGGAGGAGGAGGAGGAGGAGGAGTGTCTGGCCACGCTCGGGCCCGAGATCTGGGCGGAGTCGCTGCGTGCCCCCTTCACGGCGACCCGAGCATCCCGCAAACCACGGAGGGCCGGCAGTTCCGCCAGTGCCCAGGTAAAGCACAAGCGCCCGAGGGCAGACCACGATCACTGGGGCGGGACGGGTTCGCACGAGCTCTGCTTCGCCTCCGGACTGGGCCGGACGCCAACGGGCACTCCTTCTCAGATACTGCGTTTCTGGAATGGCGACGGGGAGCCTCACGACTACAGAGCAGGAGCGGCAAATAGAAGCAGACAAAATCGGCATAAACAGAAACTTGTTGGCGCTCCGCGCGAATTTCCTGGATCCGTGCTGGACCCCCCTCCCTGGCGCGCGGAGCGCGCCAGGGGCGGCGCCCGAGGCGCCGCCGGGGGGCCCAGCCCGGATCCAAGAAATCCGCGAGGAGCGGCAATGTTTATGCCGTTTTTTCCTCCTTCGAGAATCGCGACGGGGAGCATACGATTACCAAGCAGGAGCGGCAAGACATCATCGCACAGGTAGCTGGAGACTGGCCCCACGCACAACGGGCCCCCAGAGACGCACGCGTTTTTGTTCGGGGAGTCAAGCGCTGCAGGAGGCGCCGGGCGAGGCCACTCGGCCTGCGGAGCAATGGCCACTGTGTGGGGAGACAGTCCTTGCCGGTCACGGGCGGACTGATCTTTGAATGCGACCCTGTACTCTCAACAGGCTCTAGAAGGGGAGGGGGAGGTGAAGGAGGACCGGGGGGACGATGACGATAATGATGATGATGCTGATGCTGATGATGCTGCTGATGATGATGCTGATGATGATGCTGATGATGATGATGCTGATGATCGCGCTGATGATGATGTTGTTGATGATGATGGTGACGAAGATGAGTAGGATAATGATGCTGTTGTTGATGATGTTGATGATGATAATGATGATGCTGCTGCTGATGATGACGATGAGGAGGAGGAGGAGGAGGAGGAGGAGGAGGAGGAGGAGGAGGGGGGAGGGGGGGGAGGAGGAAGGACGCAGGGAGGCGGAGGAGGCGAGTGATGGAGGAGCGAGCACACGGGACGGCTGAGGAGTGGGATGGGGGACGAGGAGGCTGGTGCGGAGCAGCAGCAGCAGCAGCAAGGAGCAGGGTGGGCCACAGAGTCGTCTCTGCCCCCGAAAATCCCGAGCAGGCCCGGAGAGCAGGGAGGGAGGGAGGTGAAGAGAAGGAAGGAAGTTCGAGGAGGAGGAGGAGGAGGAGGAGGAGGAGGAGGAGGAGGAGGAGGAGGAGGAGGAGGAGGAAGGGGGGGAGGAGGGGCAGGAGGGAGGAGGAGGGGTCGACACAGCCCGTGTCTCCAGCAAGGCTTCAAAGACGACGACGACGAGATCGAGACAGCCCGCATCTTCAACAAATGACAATTTTCTTCTTTCCCAGGTAGCGGTCGTTACCCGGGGGAGGGGGGGAGGGATCCGGGCGCGAGGCTAATGGTAACGGAGGCCGCGGCGCGCACCCGCCAGGGTGCGTCCGCGCCACCGGCGCATGAATCGCCTGTGCGCACCACAGCATTTAGCGGGGGGGTCCATGCACCCTCCCCAAAACGATCGTCAACGTTGCCCTGGAAGGGAGGGGGGGGTGCGGCCCGGGCAACGAGCACTCGCCTGGGATGGAAAGAAAAGCGCTCACCAAGGCTTCAACGAGGAGATCGACGGCGACGACGACGACGACGAGCAGCAGGGGGAGGAGCGCGGCGCAGCGCGGTGGCGAGCCGACGGGCAGCGCGGCCGCTGCCGACGCCCCACGATCATCGCGGCACACTGCAGCGAGCGGCATGGCGCGCCGCCGACGTACCGAGCGCGACGAAGACCACAACGACAACGACGACGACCACCACGACGACGACGACGACGACAACGACGACGGTATGTCCAGTCGTCGTCGTCGTCGTCGTCGTCGTCGTCGTCGTCGTCGTCGTCGTCGTCGTCGTCGTCGTCGTCGTCGTCGTCGTCGTCGTCATCGTCGTCGCCAAGGCTGCCGCAAATCCGGGCTGCCCCACGTCGCCATTCAAGTCCCGCGGACCAGGAGCCCCGCCCCCCCCCCGATACTGGACGCCCGCCCCGTGCCCCAGCGGGGGTCGTGGTTGGGAGAGCGCTAGGGACCAAGCGCGGGAACAGAGGAGGCAGAACTACGGCGCCTGAAACGGCCTAAGCGAAAATGGCCACGGTGAAGGGAGGAGGAGGAGGAGGAGGAGGAGGAGGAGGAGGAGGAGGAGGAGGAGGAGGAGGAGGAGGAGGAGGAGGAGGAGGAGGAGAAGCGGGAGGAGGAGAGGACGAGGAGGAAGAGAGAAGAGAGGAGAGAAGAGAGAGGAGAGAGGACAGAGGAGGAGGAGGAGGAGGAGGAGGACGAGGAGGAAGAGGAGGAGGAGGAGGAGGACGAGGACGACCACGCCAAGGGGAAGGAGAGCAGGAGGGGGAGGGGGGCAGGCAGACGCGTACAGAAAAACTCAGGCCATAACCCCCCTTGGCCAAAACTGTGCTCCCCGAAGTCCTCCCACCCCCAGGCGTGGGCACCTCCCGTCCTGTTGGTTGAGCATGGGCCGACAGTCCCGGCATTCCTGCAGTGCTGACACGACGTGTGCTTAGAACCCAGGCATGTTCTAAGAACAAAAGCAATGTTCTTATAACATAAGAAGCACGATGCGTTAAAGCAAAACAGTCCCAGCCAGAAGTGTTCTCAGAACATTCCGTGGGAACCACAAAAGGTTCTCAGAACATCGTTTGGTAGGCCTATAGGCACGCCAGGAGGCTTCGCCACTCCTTGAGTTGGAGGCCTGGAAATTGGCAACAACACCAGCACAGAGGTTGCCTCCACATGGGGAAGATGATCCTAGATTTCGGTGTCGGTGGAAACATTTCGGTCACCTTGGACGCCAGAATATTATCACCATCACCGAGATCGGGATCGCCTTCCCTCGTTGGAGGCACACCGCCTATCTTGGTGTTGGTGTCAACCTCTAGGCCTGCGATCCTGATAGGTGTGGGCGTACATGCAGGAGTGCCAATCGTGCTGGCCGCCGATCGGGCACCAGAACACCTTGAAGCGATCTGTGAAGAACTCCGACGTCAGAGCTTCTGCCGGGGAAGGAGCAAGCGGCAACGACAACGACAACAACACCGATGGCGATGCAACCGTCACGCCGGCCAGGAGGGCTGCGAAGGCAACAACAATCCGAGCTCGTCGTCGCCATCATGTTCTGCTGCTTCTGCTAGCGGCTACTGCTACGGTCACTGCTACTGACCGCTGCCTGCTACACCTCTGCGACTACTGCTGCTGCTGCGGCTGCACGTGCCACTGCTGCTACCCCTCCGCTGACGTTACTGCCTCTACACCCTGCGAAATGTTTAAGAAATCATGGGTTAAGAAATTCATGCTCTCAGAAATTGAATAAAACCCAGATCTTCTATCAAAATCTTGGGATTTACATTGAAAAGTTAAGAACAATCGAGACTCTGGACGAAAACTTAGGTTTTCTTAAGCATCGCCTAAGGTGTACTACTGCTGCCGCATCTGTGGATGTCATGCTGGTCCTGCTGGAGCTAGCGCTTGTGGCACTGAGGTTTCAGCTGCTGTCAGTGCTACTACTGCAACTTGCAGAGGACTGCGTACCATCGGCCCTCGCAGGCCAAGGAACGCCCGCGCATCCAAGGACATCATCGCGGGTCATGACTGGTTCCTACACCTTAGGCGATGCTTAAGAAAACCTAAGTTTTCGTCCAGAGTCTCGATTATTCTTAACTTTTCAATATAAATCCCAAGAATTTGATAGAAGTTCTGGGTTTTATTCCATTTCTGAGACTATGAATTTCTTAACCCATGATTTCTTAAGCATTTCGCAGGGTGTAGAGCAGCGGTCCACCCAACTTCTTCCACTCCCACCCAACACTGCATCCCGATGTTTTTACAACGACTCGACCACGGTGTTCCACCATACACGCCCAAAGACCCCCCACACCACCCCGCACCCGCACACATCTCAAGGTACAGCCCAACGGCTACGGCGAAATTGCCTATAGAATCGTCCCCGAACTCCCCAACGTTAATTCCCAAAGGTCCTACAGCCCCACTCCGAAGGCCACCAAACCTAATACCCTACCCTGCCCTTAATTCAAAACCGCGTGAACCCATTGTCCAACGACCCCGAGAACGAATTACCATGGGGCCATCACGCCCCGATATCCCAATGTTTTGGGCTGCTACAAGCAGGTGAGGATGGGATGAGGGGGGATGGAGGGAAGAGAAAGGGTGAGGAGGGAGGACGGAAGGAATATCTCTACACTGATTGTGAAGCCTGGCTGCTGCACTGCCTGCAGGGGGGTCACATCAATATCACGAATGGGTGCTGGTTCGGCGCGGCGGCATATCCGTCGCAACTGCTTCCAACACCATGCAAACTACTCATCTAGCAAAGCTAGACAGCACTGCTTAAAAACCAATCATAAATGATAGAATAATTCAAACACGCACCTGTGCGATTCGTGCCCGCGCTTAGGTTCCAGCGCAGGCCAGTGCGCTCTGCGCGTGACTTTGGACCAACTCGCTCCATATATGCTTCAGGGTCGAGGGTTCACAACCCCACCCCCCAGATGGGATGGGCCCCAGGGTTCCACAGGTCCCCACCCCCTCCCCAGATGGGATGGTGGGGGACGACGCCGCCGCCGCCGCCGCCGCCGACGACGACGACATCCACCCTCCACCACCTGGATCATAGATTCCCTTATCGCGTCCTCCATCATATATTACACTTCCTTCACCGCGAATCCTACAACATGTCTCGCTTGTGATCGCTTGTTCTTTCTCGCTCCTTTCGACTGATCGTGCTGGGGGCTCTGCGAGGTCTTCGAGCTGTTCAGATCTAGCGCGGGCGGGTATCGAATATGAAGTGGGCTGGCTTGCACTGTCCTTAGGGATCGTCTTGGAGTGTGCTAGGGCTGCCTTGGGGCTCGATAGGGGCGTCTTGGAGGCTTTGGGGCGGCTCTTGGCGCCCTACAGAAGGGCCTTGGGACTCGCTAGGGGCGTCTTTGGGCCTCCGGGGCCACTCCTGGCGCCCTGCAGGCGGCTCCTGGGGAGCTCGAGGGGGCTCCTGGGACGTTGTGGGCCGTCTTGGCACGTCCTGGTGCTCTTTGGAGGCCCTCTTGGGCCTTCCTGGGGCTCTCTTGGCTCCTTCCCGAAGCGCTCTTGGGCCGCTTCGAGGTCCTACTGGGGCGTCCTGGGGCCGTCGGGCCTTCTTCGGGCGTCGTGGGACCATCTGGGGGGGGGATATCCCTCAAAATCATCGAGGATCACGTGAGAACCGCAGAATATAGAACAGCATATTCTCTGCGATTCTGGCTCGCTCGGGCCTCCTTTGGGGCAGCTTGGGAGCTCCATCGGGACTTATCGTGGCCCCTCGGGGCCGGCCCGCAAATACCTGGGAACGTCTTGGACCACCGTGGGCCGCTTTGGCAGAGAGCGGGCGTCCTCCCTGCTCGGAAAAAGCGAAAGAGACACGCAGAGGCCCCAGAGCGGGTCCCTGCCCCAGGGGGGGACACACTGAATTGCGAAGGGGGTTCGGAGAAATGGGCCGCCCTCGGGCCTGGGGACCTGGTGGCCGGTGCACGGAGCAAGCTAGTGCCATAGCACAGTGGACGGAGGCGCGGTGGTAACGACGCACTCGCGTAGACACGAAGTATTGGCAATTGGCTGCGCACCGCATATGATCACCATCTGAGTGTTAGGGAGGTTGGGACGCGCAAAATAAACCACGAGTCGACACAACACATCGGAACACGAATATTGATTCCCATGCGTATACAGATATATGCATGTATAGGTATGTATTCCTAAACCTATATTTCTATTGCCCGGAACCCTCCCACACCCCCACCCCTAAACCCGACCCCCCTCCCATGGACGCCCCGGACACCCTTTTGGACGCCTCGGCGGCCCCCTGGACGCCCTTGGAAAGGGTCCGCTGGCCCTTCCAGGCCTGCCAGGGCGCCTTGCCTGGCCTTGCGAGCAGAGCCAATGCGATCAGAGGGGTCGTCGGGAAGACGCAAGAAAGACCCAAGACAGCACAATAGCGCTCCAAGAGGAACCTCGATGGTCTGAAGACGGCCCGAGGCGCCCCCAAGATGCCCCAAGAGCCCAAGAGGCTGTTAAGAGAGCCCCGGAGAAGAAGCAAGCATCGCCCCATCCCCTCCGGGAGAATGTATACGTTTAGCATATCCGCTTTTTGGGTCTTCGCCGAGTCAATCCAAAACGGCCCGATGGGCCCCCAATACCGCCCCAAAACGGCCCAAGAAACCCTCCAGAGGATTTGAGGACGGCCTAAGACGGCCCCAAGATTGCCCCAGAGAGTCCCGAGACTGCCCACAAGAAACCCAACACGCCCCCAGAAGGCTCCCAAGAGAGACCCACGAGAGCCATGGGAGACCCCGGAGGCCCCCAAGAGGGTCCTGTATGGCTTTACTTCTGGAGGGCCCCAACTCCCCAAGACTGTCCAAAAAAGGCCCCAAGACGGCCCAGGAGGGCCCCAGGACGGCCCAAAAGAGCTACAAAAACGCCCAGGCGGCGTTTTCCTGCGAAGTGCATCGAGCTGGCCCGCAGATCCTGGTTCCGCGCTGGAGGCTCGAGGCTTCCACTCTTCGATCGAGAGAGACAAGCAACGGATCTAGTCTCGAAGTTCGACGATCGAACATTTCCTGAATGCCTGGAGACCCCCAGGCATCCAGAAAACGACCCAACACGAATTTGCTCGCTGCTGCGACATTTTCGGCGTGTCACGGGAACGCTCCTTCTCCCCGTTTCTTCCCCCCTCCCCGCCTCTTCCGCCTCTTCAGCCCCCCCAATCCCTGCTCCCTTCCCGTTTTCCAATCACGGACAGGTGCCATCGCAACAGTTTGATGCGTCGTCGTTTCCAGCACCTTCGCGCGTGAAGAAATCAGCAGTCCTTCCCATCTCCTGCGCACAAACGTGCAAGCGCATCGGGCGAACGCTGTGTTAGCAGGCACCAGGGATATCAGAAAAACTGAGCCGGTCGCCCGTCCAGGCCTCGAGGTCCCCCCTGCTGAAGCAAGCGATGACTTACTGCTTTGCCCAGGAAGTGTCCTGAACAAGGCGCATGGCGCGAAGCGCCAATGCAGTCTTGTGTGTGTATACAAAAATATGCTTGCCAGCGCAGACCGCCAAAAACTGACATTGCTGTCTGTGCGTGTACGCGGACAACCACCAAGTGCAAAGAGCCGCGCGGTGGGCGGCAGCGAGGCGGCGACGCGGCGAAACCACGGTGGACCCCCCTTCGTCTCCCCCTTGCATCGCCTCTCCCTCGCCTCCCCTCGCCCCTCCACTCCACTCCACTCCGCTCCACTCCCGCCCACTTCCTGTCCGCTGCCGCACCTCTAAGACGGGGCAAGGGCGAGGCTCACAGACATCGGGCGAGGATGAATCGAGAACCTCTGAGATCCGGCGGCTTTGGAGGGTCCTCCTCCTCCTCCTCCTCCTCCACCTCCTTCTCCTCCCCCTCCTCCCCCTCCTCCCCCTCCTCCTCCTCCTCCTCCTCCTCCTCCTCCTCCTCCTCCACCTCCTTCTCCTCGAGAATCTCTGCGATCGCCCGATCCTCCCCTCCCCTCCGAAAGCGCTCGACCCGGGGGCCCCCCCCGGACCTCGCTGCGCGGCACGCACTTCCCTCGAAGCGACCCCCCCGGCCCCTGGAAGGAGCGCGGGGAGAGGCGCCTCGCCGGCCCGGGGGAGGGCGGCGCTGGAGGGGGGCGTGGCAGGATCGGGGAGACGTAAGACCCGGGTACGGGGGACTCGGAAATCCCCGACGAGGTCGTCAAAAAAATGACGAGGCCGAGCCTGCATTTTGACGAGGCCTCCCGCTGCAGACATCCCACGAAACTCCTCCTCGTCAAAATCCGAGTCGCGGTCGTCAAAAACGATGGCGAACCCGAGTCCCGGCAAACCTGTGTCTTACGCTCCCCCGACAGGAGAGCACGGGCACGAGCACGAGCGACTCGACGCAGTCGGCGTGACGTCAAAAATGGCCCATGCCGACTCCGACTCTGACGACTCCGACTACTCCGACTCCGACTCCGACTCCGACTCCGACGCCGACTCCGACGCCGACGCCGACGCCGACGCCGACGCCGACGACGCCGACGACGACGCCGACGACGACGCCGACCGACGACGACGACGACGGCGCCGGCGCCGACGCCGGCGCCGACGCCGGTGCCGGAGGCAGCGAGAAAGATGTGTCCAACCGCCACGATACTGCCACCTCAGTGAGCAGAGGCGGGTTAGGAGGATAAGCAGGGAACTCATCTGCCCCGATGCGCAACACGCGGCACGGCGCGTGTTGACGCGGAGCTCCGCACGCAGCCTGGAAGCCAGGTCCGGCGCGACACGCTCGGCAAAGCCCGGGCCCACACGCTGAGCCAGCACGCAGCGCGCCCACACGGACGCCTTGCACACGGCGCGCGCTGCGCTTCCAAGCGGGAACAGCAGGGCAACTGTTGGAAGCCCAGAAATGGGCACCAACACCAACACAGGGGGTTGCCTCCACAGGGGGTTGCCTCCACACGAATTCGGTGTTGGTGGCAATATTTCGGCCACCTTGGAAGCCAGAATATTACCACCATCACTGAGATCGGGATCTTCCTCCCTCGGTGGATGCACACCGCCGATATCGGTGTTGGTGCCAATCTCTAGGCCTGCGAAACTGAGGATCAGGGCGAGGGGGAGGGGGGAGGCGCCGCCCGGGCATCGCGAGGGCGACGCCTCGCTTCCCCTGCCGCGCTCCAGCCCGCAGTGCCCGCAGTGCCCTCGGAAAGCCGCGCCCCGCCCCCCCCCCTCCGCACCCCCGCCCCCCTGCGCCCCGAACCGCCGCTCAGAACTGGCCCCCCGCCCGTCCCCTTCCCCCTCCTCCTCCTCCTCCTCCTCTCGTCGTCGTCGTCGTCGTCATCGTCCTCGTCCTCGTCCTCGTCGTCGTCCTTGTCGTCGTCGTCCTCCTCCTCCTCCTCCTCCTCCTCCTCCTCCGCCTACTCCTCCTCCTCCTCCTCCTCCTCCTCCTCCTCCTCCTCCTCCTCCTCCTCCTCCGCCTCCCCTTCCTCCTCCTCCCCGTCGGGGCCGATCCGTGCCCGCTCTCCGGGCCGCGTCCAGCGGCAGCGAAGGGGGAGCCCCAGGAAGGCAGCCGGGGCGCCCGCCGACGACGCCGCCTCCGACGACGACGCCGACGACGCCACTGCGACGACAACGACGACGACAACGACGACGACGACAACGACGCCGACGACGCCGCCTGCGACGACGACGTCGACGACGCCACTGCGACGACAACGAGAACAACAACGACGCCGCCGATGACGCAGGGCGAGGATGATGATGGGTACAAACATGAAGCACGAAAACCATACGAAAAAAAAAGGCGAGGCGGGGCGTGGCGCCTGGCACGTACGTCTCCTCTTCGGGGGTCAGCAGCGGAGCGCTCACCTGGGCGCACGGGCCGAGGGGAGCAGCGAGGAGGAGGAGGACGGAGCAAGGGAGGGGCAGGACAGGGAGAAGGAAGAGAGCAGGGATGAGGAGAAAACGGATGATTCGGGAGAAGGGGTGACGAGACGAGGCAGAGGTGGATGCGGAAGTGAATGAGGTGGAGGGGAGGGGAGGAGGATGTGGAGGGGATGAGGTGGAGGGGAGAGGAGTATGAGGCGAACGTGAAGGAAGAGAGGGATGGGGAGGACGGCAAGGAGAGAGGATGACAAGAGGAGGAGACAGGGGAACGAGAGGAGGAGGAGAAAGAGGAGGCAGGATGATGCGGAGAAAGAGGGTGAGACGGATGCGAAGGAGAAAGGAGCATGAGAAGAAGGACATGAGTGTAGATGAGGGAACCAACTATGCTGATGATGCTGCTGATGATGCTGCTGATGATGATGCTGGTGAAGAGGAGGCAGTGGAGGAGGAGGAGGAGGAGGAGGAGGAGGAGAAGGAGGAGGAGAATGATGAGGAGGTGGAGGAAGAGGAGGTGGAGGAGCAAGAGGAGGAGGAGCAGGAGGAAGTGGATGAGGGCGCGTGTTACCCAACAAATCCTGCCCTCTCCTCGTCGCCGTCATGACCGTCAGATTCCTCCGCATCGTCTCGGGCAACCCTGGAGCACCCTGGGCGGGGAGCGCGGGAGCGAAGGAGGGAAAGGAGTCAGGGAGATGAGGGACGGGGGGGCGAGCGGTGGGGGAGGACTTGTTTCTGTTTCCCTGAACGAGCGCGAGGGCGCAGTGGAGTGCGCATAGCCTCCAGCATCAGCACTCTGTATCAGCACTGAGCATCCTGAGGTGGGAGCGCAAGAGCGAGGGAGGCGGGGAAAGACTCAGGGAGATGAGGGACGAGGGGGGGGGGGGGAAGAGCGAATGATAGTGAGGGGTGGGTGGGTGGAACGAGATGGGAACCATAAGAAGGATAATGCGGAAACGGATGGTGAGGACGCTTGTGGTGGTGATTCTGACAATGATGATGGCCATGGTGATGGTGATGATGGTGACTGTGTTGGTGATGAGATCTACGATCCGTTACATCGAGGCGGGCATGTGTGTGTGTGCTTCGGACGTTTGCGAGTAGGCACTTCGTATGCAGTGGAACGCTTCGGAGAAAGAGCTCGGACAGAGCTCCTCGAAGGACGTCCAGGTCCCCCCTCCCTCTGCCTTCCCCCCCAGGGCGCTCCTCCGATGGAGAAAAACAGAACGCCCACCCTTCCGGGCGCCTCCTCGCGGCTGTGCGCAAAGGCACACGCTGCGCCGTGGCGGCAGCGGTTCACGCTGGGGAAGGTCGCGCAGAAGCGCTGCTTCAGAGAGCCTTCGCGCGGCTGCTAAGGCGCCATGCTTCGACTCCTCCTCCTTCTCCTCCTCCTCTCCTCCTCCTCCTCCTCCTCCTCCTCCTCCTCCTCCTCCTCCTCCTCCTCCTTCTCCCCTTCCCCCTCCTCCTTCTCCCCCGCCTCCCCCTCTTCCTCCTCCTCCTCCTCCTCATCCTCCTCCTCCTCCTCCTTCTCCTCCTCCTCCTCCTTCCCCTCAACACTCTCCTCCGTTGTCATCCCAGCTCCCCCTCATGCTCCCATCCTCCCTCTCCTCCTTTGTCGTCCCGGCTCCCCCTCATGCTCACCCTCCTCTTCCTCCTCCTCCTCCTCCACATCCTTCACCTCGTCCCATGTCTCCTCCTCCTCCTCCTCGTCCTCCCTCCGCCTTCTCCTCATCAGGAAGGGGCAGGAAAATCCGACGACGGGGCGTTCCAACGAGAAGGAGGGGTTGGGAATTCCGACGACGGCGCGGCCGCCGGACCCCTTAGTCCCTTCGGCAGAAAGGAAATCGACGACGGCGCAGCCAGAAAAACCCTAACTCGGTCCCTATTGAAGCACTGATGATTTCTCCCACTCCTCCTCCTCCTCCTCCTCCTGCCCCCTCCCTCCCTCCTCCCCCACTCCTCCTCCTCCTCCTCCTCCTCCTCCTCCTCCAGCTCCTCCTCCTCCTCCTCCTCCTCCTCCTCCTCCTGCGCACGTCACGCCGTCCCTCGAGGACGTCGCCCCCAGCCAGAACGCCAGGTAGGTACACATGCATGAGGGCAGAACGAAAGCTCACGACAAATTGCACCCTTGGCGGCAGACGACCCTGAACACCTTATCGGAACACTAGAACTGAAGCGAACACTATAAAGGGTACGGGGATAGCCAAGAGTAATACAGAGAATGCCCGATGTAAAACTGAACAAAAACAACAAGAAAACCGAAAAGGTGGCCAGGACGGAGACCATACGGACACTCAGAACGGATGCCATAAAGAAGAAAAACCATGCGAGAGAGCATACGAAAGAACATACGGGAGACCATGAGTACGGGAGGCTACTGCGGGAAAACAGAAAAAACGAAACCATACGGGAGGCCATACAGGAAGATGCAGGAAACCATATGGGATAGTATGTGGGACATGATACGGGGGATCATACGGGGCACCATGCGCGAGACCACGGGGCACCGGTTCCAGATACAGGCGGCTCACACAGGGCATTAGGAACAATGTGTTGGACACAGGACCCTCACGGGCAAGCTGTTCATGCAATGCCTGGTCACCGCTTCTCCCTCCCCTCCTCCATCTCCTCCTCTCTCCCACTAATCGCTCTTCTTGTGCCTCTCATCGTTTCTCTTATCCTCTCTCTCCTTCTCTCCCTGTCTTACACTCTCTCGAACTCCTCTCATTCATCCTAGCTCTGTCTCCTCCTCTCCTACACATCACTCAACTCCTCTCTTTTCACCTTCTCACTTCTGTGCTTCTGTCTCCTCCTCCTCAACCATTCTCCCCCCCTCCCCTCCTCATGAACATCATCCTGCTCGTACTCAGCCGCCGCTTCACCCTCCCTCACCATGCCTCCCTCCTCCTCATCGAGATGTTCCTGCTCCTCCTCCTCCTCCTCCTCTCCCTCCTCCTCCCCCCGCATCACCATCACATCGTCATCATCACCGCCTCTCCCCCTCCACGACGGCAGACGGCGACCGCGGCCACGGCGCCACGACGACGGCTGCCGCCTCTGTAACGGCTCATCGGGCCCGCCCGCGCCGACCCGGGCATCGCGCCGCCGCAGGGGCCACAGGCCCCGCCCATCGGCCAGAACGGCATGCCCACCTGCCAGGGGGAAGCGCCGCCGTCGCCGTCGTCGCCGCGTGTCGATCACCCAGACCCCTGCGGCGACATGACTGCTTTTGGAGTGCCATGCGGGGCCTGCTCTAGAACAGGCGCATACCGTCGACGGATCTCCCCTTCCTCTGGCCTGGAACTGCGCCGGACGCAGCGGACGCGCTGTCTGGAGACGCATGCCCCGTAGGCATCCACTGTGTCTGTGGGCGCTTGTGGCTAGGAGGTGCGAAAGGTATTTGGCATAGGCCCGAGATATCAGTCCTCTAGGAGCAGGTCTACTTTGCCATCCGAGCTCCTTTCACTCCCGATGCCCTTCCTGGATTTCGGTCTCTGGGGCCCGTCACCGGGCCCCCGAGCCATCCGCGGCCATCAGAGGCAGATCCCGGACGAACACCATCCCCGCGGCGCGCGCCGGGGTGGCGCGAGAGGCGCTGCCAGGGAGGCTCTGGCGCCGATCCGAGGCATCCGCGTGGACCTCCTGCAGGTAGCATTTGTGCCACCTGTTGTTCCCCAAGCTGGGGCCGCGGATGGAGCACATCATGTCGTCGCGTGTCTGCGGAGGCGTGTGGCACCAGGCCTCCTGGGACCTCCAGGCGCCTCTGGGGATAGCCGCGGTCGAGGAGGATCGGCGCTCCAGGGCCGAGGCAGGAGGCTCGATTTTAGCGCTTGTGCGTCATCGATCGTTTCGGGGCGCACAACAGGCCGCCTCCTGTCAAGGCTCGGGGCCCCGTAAACGGCGAATGTGAGATACACCGGGACGTTCGCGCACTCGAAAACTGCAGCTGTGGGGCGAAACCACTCTCCGTTCTGCGTGTTCTCCAGTGGGATCTCGCCAAATCCTAGTTTGCAATGTCCTGGCCTCCTGGACTCCGATCTTGAGGCCTCTCTGGAGACCTTCTCCCTACGGAGGGCCGTGGGGGTCCTCGTCGAGGCAAAAGCCGTCGGGGTTGTCGGAGACGGGGTCGGGGGAACGCAGGGGAGGAGAGAGGGAGAGAGGGAGAGAGGGAGGAAGAGTAGGAGGAGGAGAAGGACGAGGAAGAATAGGAGGAAGAGGAGGAGACCCTTACGTCGCCATCACACGCCGTTGGCTCCATACGTCGACGCACCAACACCGGCATGGATTGTATGATTCACAACGCGGCTCGAAACACCGGGAGAGAAGGGCAGCAACGTTTGGCGGCAACTGCTTGCCTGCTGACGGCCCTTTCTCCCCTTGAGAACATGCCAAGTAAAGCAGATGCTCGCACGCCGCCTGTGGCAATGACCTTACGGCGAAGGTCCTCACGGACTCTCACTTATTGGTGGCGCATCAACTTGCACGAAACCCCGCGAAGTGGGTCGTCTCGCATCAAAGACAGTACCCTACTTGGTCGGGGAAGGGTCGCATGCTTCCTGTTTTCTACAACTTCTACGCTGAACGTGAAAGAGTTGAGCATTTCCCGAGGAGCACGGCGAAGGAGGAAAGGAAGCGGGAGAGGGTTCGTTTGATGGGTTTCGATGATTTTTGTGGAGGCCATCGGTGGCGTGTTGAAGCTTAGGGGTCTTCTCGAGGGCGGATCGGGATATAAAATGTTTCGGGGGGTGTCTCGACATTTCGGGAGGGGAGGCGGAGGTGGGAAACATGCGGAGGAGAAGGAGGAGGAGGAGGAGGAGGAGGAGGAGGAGGGGGAGGAGGAGGAGGAGGAGGAGGAGAAGGAGGAGGAGGAGGTTGTGGCGGAAGCCCAGAGTGATGATGAGTAAATATGAAGTTGTTTGACATACATGAGTGCAGATGGCAATGAGGGGGAGGAGGATGATGAGGCGGACGAGGATAAGGCAAGATAAAGAGGTATGAGATGGCAGAGGAGGCAACATGACTTGGCAGCGGCACCCGTGCGCCCTGAGCCAGGCAACGCGTGTCCGACAGCCCAACGCGAACGCGGTCTGGCGCCAGCGGAAGCTCGTCGCCCCGACAAGCGCAATGCGGGAATAAAAGGTTACACCACAGGGAAGGGGAGGGGAAATCTCATAAAGAAGAAGGGATAGGACGTGGGGCGCGCGAGAAATGGGACGACACGGGGGCAAACATGGGGGATCCCACTCCTCCGGCGCCCTGGCTTTTTCAATACGTGGACCCTGGACTCTCTCGGCTCCTTTCCGCGAGCCAGGTTCTCGTCCCACATCGTTTCTTGGCGGCGGCCAGCCCGAAATTGAGGAACGAATGTCGGTCTTGAAATCAGCACGTCGGAGGCCTGGGATGACCATTGCTTCCAGAGTCCCAGCGTCCGAACCGACGCTTCTCACCTGCCGTCCGGCCGATCCTCCTCGGATCGGGACGACGACGAGCGCCCGAGAGAGCAACCTCCGCTTCCAGACGCGCAGATGCCCAAGGACCCGCTTATAGCCAGAGAATTCAGAGCCAACCCTGACCCACAACAGAGGAGGAGCCTCGGCTACACGCAAGAGTGATCCTGCGAAGAGTTCATGGGCAGATTTTCCACCAGCACGGCCATCCTCCTCCCCCTCCTCCCCCTCCTCCTCCTCCTCCTCCTCCTCCTCCTCCTCCTCCTCCTCCGATTGACCTATTGACCTGCACTAGAAGGTGAGTCCCTGCACGCCAGGGGCCTTCACAACGGCTCACGAGATGACCTTCCCTCGTGAGAGGCCGCAGCGGGTCGCAACCTGCCCCCTAAAATGGGCAAGCTGTCCCACGGGCCAAACAAGCAATGCCTTCGGCTTCAAACCCTGCAGCAACCTTCGAGACGCTTTGATCCCCATGCTGGTAGGCTGGTTGCAGGGACCTGTGAGTTCTGTCGCTTTGGACGCGGCCCTTTTGATGGGGAATGCATTTCGTTCTGATCGAGCCTTCGGGAGGAGGTGCTGGGAGTCCCTAGTTGAATCATGATTTCTTCCCATGGAAATGAGGGCGGGGCAAATCCAGCACACGCAAAAGGCATCTTCCACTGGGGCTCACAGCGCCAACATTCAGGGGTTCCCGCCATCCCGGCTCTAAATCTTGTGGATCCATGCCAGATGCCTCCTTTGGCAACCGAAAAAGCAGAAGCGCAAAGATGGTTAGAACTCCTCCTCCATCCTGCTACCTGATGCCGAAACTGATGTGCGAAGGCATTGCGTGACCTTGGGTGCGAGGCCGTTGGGGCCCGCACCAAAAGGTCACTCCAACGAATTGTCCCTCTTGCGAGTGCCTGATGAAGAGGGGGCGGCATTGCAACCGCGACGTCTCCACCCCCGCCGGCCTGGCGCTCGAGAGCCACCTCCTGCTGTGTCGTCGTGCCTTCTCGCTCCCTGCATGTCGGGTGCACCAGTGCAAGTCCCTCGCTGATGCCTGGCTCGCTCGACGTATTCTTCAGCGCAAGCGGTGTAGCCCGAGCCAGACTTCCTACCGTCGCGACGGCTCGGTGACACGTTGATTGCGCCACTGCTGGCGCACCTGATCTCCCTCCTCCACCCTCCCCTTGGCGGCTTCTGCCCAGGGTGTAGGGGTTCGATGGCGCTGATCGCCAAACGAAGCCGCCACCAGCATCCGCGTCAGGGTGAGGCCGCGAGGAGGAATCAGGGGCAACGTCAGCTGGGCACGGGCCCACGGGAGGAGGAGGAGGAGGAGGAGGAGGAGGCGGAGCGTACCAGGGACGCTCCGCTCCGTACCAGGAGGAGGAGGAGGAGGAGGAGGAGGAGGAGGAGGAGGAGGAGGAGGAGGAGGAGGAGGAGGAGGAGGAGGAGGAGGAGGAGGGGGGAACATCGCCCTGGAACTGGCGCTGCGCCGCGGACGAACGTCGGCGGCAGGCCCCCGATGGCGAACCTGGACGCTCCCGGGCAGGCTGGGGCCCGTCGGCGCTCCCGTCGGCGATCGGTGGGCGATCGGTGGGCTCGACGCGTCTCCCCGGGAGCCTGCCTCCGTCCACGGTGGCCTTCGGGCCGCAGCTCGGGCCGCGGGGGGCCCAGCACGGCACCCTCGGGGCGACCCCGGCACCCTCGGGCCGCTCCCGGCGGGGCGCAGCTGCCGGAGAGCATCCCGAGGCTGGAGAGCGGCCGCGGAACGACGAGGACGCCCGAAGGCCCAGAGCCTGACCTGCTTCGTCGGGGCAGTCGATGCCCCCCCCTCACCTGAAGATGCCCCCCCAGGAGCAGCAAACACTCATCAACAACACTCATAAACACACTTTCTCGGAGGTCCGCGCGGATCTCTTGGATCGGCGAAGGACCCGCCTCGGGGCGCCGATCCGAAAAATCCGCGCGGAGCGCCAAGAAGTATGTTTATGCAGTTCCTCCTTTGTCGACTGGTAGAGGAGCACCCCCCTCGGGGATTTAGTGACCCGGGTCAATTAGGAGGCCCCATGCGAACCCTACCCCTACCCCCCACGACTTCTGAGGGGGAGGGTGGGGTTCACTCCGGGAGCTCCCGAGCGAAGTGAACCCCACCCTCCCCTCAGAAATCGTGGGGGGCAGGGGTAGGGTTCGCATGTGACCCCCTATCAATACAAACCCTGGACAGTCGGGCGTGGCAGGAACCTTCAGGATCCTACGCGCTGGCTAGGGTCAGCGCACCCTGGCTCTGCCGGCCGGATCCTGCAAGATCTGGCGCTCTGGATGACCCCCGTTTGCACTGACCCCCGTCTCTTGAGCAACGACTCCTTCGCGCCCAACCCTGAGGAAACCACAAGGTACCGATACCGCTCCTCCCCTGACCTCCCCTGGAGCGCGCCATGACCAGACATTCGAGGGGAATCCAGCGGTGGCGACGAGGTCCTCCCAGGACCCACCTCCGAGCCGCCCCCCCGGCGGCGGCGCACCCCCGCGCACGCCGCCGCTGCCGACCATGGCATAGACATGCCCGCGGCGAAGGGCATCTGCGCCCACGCCTGAGCACGCGGAGGGGGGCCGTCTCGCCGCCGCTCTCGCGGGGGGGGGGGACGGCGGCTCCCTCCGCGCCCGCACCCCCCCCCGCTGCGGAGAGCATCCGGCGCCTCGGCCTCGCGAGGGGGCAGGAGAAGGGCAACCGCTCTCGCTCGCCGAGACAACGACGCGCGCACCGCGGTTGTGAGAACAGTTCTGGTGTTTGGAGGAAGGGGTTGGCAGAATGATGGGTAAGAGCAAACTCATGCAATTAACGCCCCCATCCCCCCAACCCGATAATTGTCTTCCTGAGGTTGTCGCGCGCAAGCCGGCGACCTGGTGATCCGACCAAGAACGAGGGCAGGAGAGCCCAGAATCGAACCAGCAAGGCGGATCGGCCAACGAAGTATATCGGATCGGATGAAAGCGGCAACAGCCACGCCGCGAGAAATCGAATCTGCCGGAATTTGCAGGCTATAAAGGCCTCCGTTGAAAAGCCGACATCCAAATCGAAATCCGAAATCCAACCGGATCGGAAGCGAAGTCGATCGAAATCGACACGCACCGGGTTGGGATCGAACTTTGCCCTGAGTGCCTGCGCTGCCCGTCAGGCGAGGGGACGCACGCGGAGGCCGCCCGCCAGGGGTGCGCGTGCGCAGCCCCATCTCACTCGGCCGCGCCAGGGCCGGGTGCTGGAAACGGTCAGGAATTGTTGCTCGGCGTCGGGGATCTACGATCCACCGGCCAGGGACAATCCACACCCGGGCCAGTCAGACTTTGCAAGGCACTGCAAGATCCTGCGCCCAAGCCCGGGCCAATACACCCCTGGTGCTGCAGGATCCTGCAAGATCTGGCGCTCTGACTGACACCCGTTTGCGTTGACCCCCGTCCCGAGGCTCCCGATAGCCCGTCGCGAAGGCGGCCCCAGCGACACTCTATGCCCTGCAGGCCGACAACGCGTCGCTCCGCTCTGCGGGGCGGGAGGTCGGGAAAGACTCGGGAGGTTGACGCCTGGGGACTGGGACATGGATCGTTTGTCCGGCCGCAGCGTGGTATCTGGCGCAGGGACGCGCTAAGCTCCAATTCCTGACCGCATGCGTTTCTCCCGCCCAAGCTCGCCACGACGAGTGTGGCCAGCTTCCGGACAGACTTCCTGTGATAAGAAGTTGTGGTATATTAATACATGTTACACTCCTTCGTGTCAGCACGAGTGCGTTGGGGCGATCCTCGATACAATGCTGTTTGTCCTGCCAATGCTATCACAGGAGCAGGGGGCGCCTGTCGTGAGCCGCGAGGCGCAAATCCTCAGTGCAGTGTTCGTCATGTGGCCGACTCGGGAGGCTCAGATCTGTTGGCGATGGCGGTTGGCCCCCCTGCCCCGTTTCCGTCGGCCTCCAAGGGGCTTCTGCCCAAAAAAGCAAAGCCACCTCCGTTCTCTTCTTGATATTTCTGCGACGCGCGCGCTGGGCGGTCGTTGCGCCGCGCGGCGGCGGCGTCCAACGTCTCGAGAGGCGGTGTCCGCGAGATGTGAACCTCCTCGAACTCCACCAAGACAAGGCCTTCTGGGAGCGCACTGTCCAGCTCCGAAGTGCCCCCTTTCCACTGAGAGCACAGCGGCGCACGGGCGCCTGCAGGTACGCAGAAGATCTGCCGGCGAAGAGCGCGCCTGTTCCAGGACGGGGGGGGGAGCCAGCTGGCATCACAACGAGGTTCGGAGGCGATGGGGTGTGAGTTCTGGCGGAGGGGAAGAAGGAGGAGGAGGAGAAGAGGAGGATGCGGAGGAGGAGGGGGAGGAGGAGGAGGGAGGAGGAGAAAGAGGAGGAGGAGAAGGAGGAAAAAGGTCAGGCGAAGAACCGTGCGCCTTTCGTGCACCTCGTGGGCCCGCTGTGGCAGTCCAGGAGCCATTGGGGGCCCCTTGTAATCCCCCCTGCCCCCACGTTTGTTGCCCCCCAGTGGCCGCCCGCCCGAAGCAGAGAGAGGCTTCGAAAGGGCCCAGCAAAAAAGTGGGAGAAGCGAGGGCCTTCGTGGGCGGGAAGCATGGCCATTCCAAGGCCTTGCGGGCTAGATTCCTGGGCCGTGGCCCCATACATACGGGGCCTTCTTTCGCCGCGGAATGTAAGTATCCACGCGACCGCGCATCCACGGAATCGTGCGCCGCAATCCAAACTGCGAGGGCGTGGGCATGGATAAGTATGGTCACAAGGGCAGGAGGCACCCAGCGAGCCTCCCCGTCGAAATCCTGGAAGCCCTCCTCGACCTCACCGGCCTCCTCGTCTTCTTCGTATTCTTCTTGACCACCACCGTCGTCATCGTACGCCTGCTGCGGCATCTCTGCGCACGGCAAGGCAAGCCAAACTCTCGCTCTCAATTCTCGCCATCCAGAGATTAGCAACACCACACGTACTGTCATTGCCCGGCTGCCCAATCCTTCAAGGCTGGAAATTGACAAGCCTCACTTGCTCACAAGGCCCGCTTCGCGCGCGAGAGTCTCACCAACCGATTGGTCCGAAGTTGTTTAACAAGTGCGTTCTTCCCACCCCTGGTTCCTCTTTCGTATAATGGTTTTCTCTTTTGTTCTTTTAACGCCCAAAGACTTTTTCCCTCGCATAGCCACGCGAAGGAGTGGTGGCTGTCTTTTGGGATGGATTTGTTTTCGATGTGATGCACCTGCTATTGAAACGCCTTCGGGTCATCTTTGGCCGATCTGGAGTCTGTCTTGTCTCGTCTTGTGGGATCTTGCCATCTTTCATCTTGACTTGTCGTCTCTAGAGGAAGAGAGAGAGAGAGAGAGAACAAAAAAAAAAAAAAAAAAAAACATAGAGAGAGAGAGAGAGTGTGTGTGTACGGCGGACACGCGAACTTTCGGAGCTCCGCGCAGATTTCTTGGATGATGTTTGGCCCCCCTCAGCTGGCGCGCAGAGCCAGGGGCGGCGCCAAAGGCGCCGCCTGGGGGGCCCAGCGCAGATCCGAGAAATTCGCATGGAGCGTCCAAAGTCCATGCTTACGCGTCTGTTTCTTCGAGGCTTCTCGTCTCAGGCCCTCCTGCCCACACCTGTGCTGTCACCGCGCGTCAACTGGATGGGACCAAAAAGGGAAGCGGTCCCGACTCATACAGCGGAAGCAGCCCCGAAGCGCCTGGAAGAGAAGCAGGATGGCACTCCTCCTGCTCTTCCATACCCCTCCCCTCCTCGATCCTCCCTCTCTTCTCCCTCCGCCTCCACCTCCCCGATCCCCTATCCCCAATCCTCCTTCTGCTCCTCCTCCTCCTCCTCTTCCTCATCCTCCTCCTCCCTCTCCTCCTCCTCCTCCTCCTCTTCCTCCTCCTCCTCCTCCTCCTCCTCCTCCTCCTCCTCCTCCTCCTCCATGCGTTTCTGCCGCGGCGCTCTGGCTCACCCCCGCCTCCCCGCCAGTGTTCCGGCACAGGGAGCCTCGGGCCCGCCGGCCTCGGCGTCGACGGTCTTGGCGGCGTCCTCCCTCCCTCTCTGTCTCTCTGTCTGTCGCTATCTCTCTGTCTATCTGGCTCTCCCTGCCTCCCTCTCTCTCTCTCTCCCTTCCCCCCTCTCACCTCCCTCTCCCCCTCTCTGCCTGTCTGTCTGTCTGTCTGTCTGTCTGTCTGTCTGTCTGTCTGTCTGTCTGTCTGTCTGTCTGTCTCTCTGTCTGTCTCTGTCTGTCTGTCTGTCTGTCTGGCTGTCTGTCTGTCTGTCTGTCTGTCTGTCTGTCTGTCTGTCTGTCTGTCTGTCCCTCCATTCTATTCCGTCTCTATATGTATATATGTATATATATATATATATATTCATCACGGAGTGCTCCCTCTCTCGCTATTTCCCTCTCTGTCTCTCTGTGTAGATGTCTCTGTTACTCTCCCTGTATATATATATATATGGTTTTGTCTCTTTCTCTCTCCCGCCAATTTAAGCACGATAGAAAGGACTAGGTCCCCAACGATGACGGAAGCGTTTGAATGCACAGACGCCTCTCGGCAAGAGAGACACAAACTACACTGCCGCAGCAGGCAACCCTTCGGCAACGCGCAGAGCAGGAAACCTTTCGGCAGCGCGAAGAGGTGGAAACTACCTGCCGTAGCAGGAAGCCTCGTTCTCCTCCTCCTCTCTCCTACTCGTCTTCATCCTGATCATCCTACTCATGATTTGTCTCCTCCTCCTTCTCCTCGTCCTCTTCTCTTCTATGTCCTCTCTCCTTCTAACGCTTCTTATCATATGGTTTCTCTCTTCCTGGTTGTCTCATAACCTCCACCTTTCTCCTCTTCTATCATCCTCCTCCCCCTTACCCCTCCCCCTCCTCCTCTCCTTGTCATCTGTCCTTGTCTTCCACTTTCGCCTGTATCTCCGTTCCCCCTTACCTTCCTGCTCCTCTCTCCTGTCTCATCTCGATAACTCCTCCTCCTCCTCCGTCTCCTCCTCCTTCTCGCCTCAACCACCTCTTTCCGCTTCTACTATCTTCTCTTAGCTTATATTGTATTATCGTATCTTATAGTTTCGGATATTCGCTTCCGGTGTGTTATATGGTCGTCTCCTGTATGATCGTATATTGCATTGTGCTCCCTCATATCATATCCTCGTTGATCATCATCTGTGATCGTCTATCAAGACATAGTGTCTTATCTTGTGGTATATGATATCTTCCATCATACTATGACCCCCTTTATGATACCGTTGTTTCGCTGGTTATGCCTTCTCTTTTCTTCTCTGATATTCGCATATCGTCTCTTATCTTCTCTTCTCTTCTCTTATCATATCGTCTCTTATCTTCTCTTTTATTCTCTTCTCTTCTCTTATCTTCTCTTCTCTTCTCTTCTCTTCTCTTCTCTTCTCTTCTCTTCTCTCCTCTTCTCTTCTCTTCTCTTCTCTCCTCCTCCTCATCCTCCTCTTCCTCATCATAATCATGTGTCTCCTCTTTCTCCTCCTAATATTCCTCCTCCTTCCTCTGCTTATCCTCCTCCTTCTCCTCTTCCTCCTCCTCCCCCTCCTCCTCCTCCTCCTCCTCCTCTTCCTCCTCCTCCTTCTCCTCCCCCTCCTCCCCCCTCCAATCCCCCTCCCCCTCCCCCTCCCCCTCCCCCTCCCCCTCCCCCTCCCCCTCCCCCTCCCCCTACTCCTCCCCCTCCTCCTCCTCCTCCTCCTCCTCCTCCTCCTCCTCCTCCTCCTCCTCCTCCTCCTCCTGTGCCCGCACCGCGCGGCGGCCACCACCAGCGTCCTATCCTCCTCCTCCTCCTCCTCCTCCTCCTCCTCCTTCTCCTCCTCCTCCTTCTCCTCCTCCTTTCTCCTCCTCCTCCTCCTCCTCCACGTCGGGGGACGCGGGGTCTTGGGGGGGACTCACACGGCTCCGAGCGGCGGCAACGGCACCCAGTGCGACAAGCGGGGCCCGATTCGGCGCCCACGTGGGCGGCGACTGCGGCGAGACGCACGACACCCAGAGCCGACAAGGGGGGGCGCGACTTGCGAGGGATGCGAATGGCCCCGCGCGGCAAAAACACGGTGGCCGCGGTGCCAAGCGCGGGGGAATGCCCAGGGCCCCGCGCGGCGGCGGCGCCGCGCGACGCCAGGAGCCCAGTGAGGGGCGCCGGGCGTGGTGAATCTCAGGGGCCCCGGGCGGTGGTGGCGCCGGCGGAGGATGCGACGCCCGGGGCTGGCGGGGGGGGGGCGGGCGCAGAGCGAGGGGAATGCTCAGGGCCGGAGACGGCGGCGGCGGCGAGAGGTGGGACACCTGGGGCTGATGGGGGGGGGGCAGGCGTGTGGAGTTCACGGTTCCGCGCGGCGACGGCGGCGGCGGCGAAATGTGCGACAGCCAAGTAGGGCCAGTGGGGCGCGAGATGATGTTGGGAATGCCCAGGGGCCCACGCGGCGGCGCGGCGGCGGCCACGGCGGTGAAGGCCAACATGGCGAAAGTCTGGTCGGGCCTCTTAGGGAACAAATGAGTCTTCCTTCGTGCCAATACGTTGCCTCTCCTTCTCCCTCCTCAGCCTCCCGCCTCCTACTCCTCCCGAAAGGCTCCGAGCAATTTCAGAGACCCATGGACGCCCCGTCGCCATCCGCATCCTCCGATACATTCTCCTCGTCTTCCTCCTGAGGTTGGGCCCCCAAACATAATTACTCATTGGGTCCATCCTGGCCTCGGACTCCTCACGGGCTGATTATTGACGGCCCTGGGCCCCGAAACGAGCCCCGATGAAACTGGAACCTCGAGCGCGCGCGAGTCGGTCAGAACAGACGCGGTGGCAAGTTCAACGATCGGGGGCGTCCAACAGGGGGGTTTCCGAGAAGAGGCTTCGCCAATCATGGCCAGAGGCATGTGCGCGGACGAGGGGAGCACCAGGTGACGCACTGACTGACGAGAAGGGGGCCACGACATCAGGGGAGCTATGGCGGCCCTGGCCATGATATCCAGACACCCCTAGTCATCACCCACCTCTTGGACGCCCTCGAAACGAGAAACACGGAAAAGCCCATGCTCAGTGACTTGTCTGCGCTGACTGGTCAGTGTGTCCACGAGATCGCATGGGATCGCAGAAACGCCGTCCATGAGGGCGCACACCGCGGTCAGCAGCAGAACGGGCAGCTAGCTTGAGGGAAAACACTGGGTCCCCTAAACTTCGTGACCGGCTTAATCTACGAGCATCGAATCAAAGGCACGCAAAGAAATTAGAGAAGTGTCTGGGAGCATGCTTGGACCCACACCCGCTCCGCCCGCCCGTACCGACCACCCACCCGCTTGAGTGACCCGCCCGACCCGCCCGACCGCCCGTCCAACCCGCCCGCTTCAATGTCCCACCCGCTGGGCCCGCCCGCCCGCCTGACACGCCGCCGCCTTCGTCGCCGTCGTCGTCGTCGTCGTCGTCGTCGTCGTCGTCGTCGTCGTTGTCTTCGGCTTCGTCCTCGTCTTCGCCTTCGTCGCGGTCGCCGTCGCCAACGACGACGCAGCATGCCCCTTGAGGCACCTCCTCTCCCGCCACCCGCCGCTCCTCGCGGGCTTCGAAGATGCCCAGGCCCGCAAAGGTCATCGCGAGTTGGCTCGAGCGAGCTGCTGGTGCCCAGGGGGCGCGGGCCAAGGGTGGCGGCTGGCTGGACGCGGCTTTCGCTGGGACGCGTCAGGACATACTAGTACGATGTGTCTCTATTAAAGGACGCACTTCCGACCCGAACACATGGCGGACTCCGGAAACCCTGAACCCAAAAACGTTTTCGTCTGTTGGGGGCGCATCTTTTTATTCCGCCGCCTTCCGCCGCGCTTCCGCCGAGCTTCCGCTCGCCGAGGCGGCCCCATTTTACTGCCTCCGACCTCCCGCCGCGGAAGCGATGGCAACTCCTTCTATCCTCCTTCTCTCCTCGAAGGCAAGACCCTTTCTGGAGCGCCCCACGTAGCACAACAAGCTTGCATCATGCTGTTACCCGAGCGGTATGGCCAGACAACGCCCGCCACGGGGCCTGCACTGCAGGCTCTCCGGGCGGTGCTCGCCGCCCGTGCGTGGCCGACGCACACGTCGTTTCGGCATGCTCGGGGTGGTGCCGCCTCGCTGGCGAAGCGCAGATCCGTACCCCTGGCGCAGCGGGCTGCTGGAGGCTAGGAGAGGAGCACCGGCACCAGAACGAGGGGTTGCCTCCACAAGAGCAATATCGTGTCCTAGATTCTGGTGCTGGTTGTGATCTTGCGGTCTCCCAGGGAGCACGTACATTACCACACTCACAGAGATCAGGACCATCTTCCCTCGGTGGAGGCGCACCGCGGATATTGGTGAGAGTGTCAACCTCTAGGTCTCCGAGGCTGGGCCCCTAGGCCACGACTCCGCGGATACGGGGCGTGTTTCCGTGGATGCCCGGCGCGAAGCGCACCCACGTGACCACGTAGCTGCGGGATCGCGCCTCAGAATCCAGGCAGCGAGTGCGAGGATATGGATACGTTCGCCGCTCGTGACCTCCGCATCCCCAGGCATGCTCGCGCCGTGGGAAGGTCGCGACGGACAAGATTTGGACGGTCGTCAGACTCCAGGGGCCCTCGCCGGGCCCCGGGCCCGTCGAGAGACGAGTCGGGAGGAAAACCCGTCCCTGAGGACAAGGCCGGGACTTCCCGGGACCCCGCGGTGCAAACAAAAACCAATGCACTGGTTGTCTGGGTAGCGGTTCATTCAGGGCCAGCGGTCCACGCATGGCCATGGCGGTCCCCGCTACAGGCGCCCCGCCTGGATAACCGGGGCGAGCCCATCACAACGCAAGCGAGGCAGACTCGGTGCAAATACTGCTTGGGGAACCTGTGAAAGCCTGCGCACATGTCTTTGAAGCGGGGACCGACCGTCCCCCCGACATGTTCTTAGAACCCAAAAATGTTCTGAGAACAAGCACAATGTTCCTATAACATCGACACGACGTGTTAAAACAAGACCGCCCCAGCCAGACATGTTCTAAGAACATGTCGTGCAGACCACAAGAGGCTCTTAGAACCTTCTTTGGTGGGCCTATGGGCGAGCCAGGACGCTCCGCCACTGCTCGAGTCCCGGCGCGCGGAGCGCGCCAGAGGCGGCGACCCCCGCCGCCCCGGTGCAGCGGAGAAGGGGGCCCATCGCCGACCCGAGAGATCCGCGCGGACCTCCGAGGGCCCCCCAGGAGGCAGAGATAGACTAGGGAAAACCAACACAAACATAAACTTTTGGCGCTCCGCGCGGACTTCTTGGATTCGCGTTGGACCCCCCTCCCTGGCGCGCGGAGCGCGCCAGGGGCGGCGCCAGAGGCGCCGCCGGAGGACCCAGGCGCGGATCAAGAAATCTGCGCGGAGCGCCAAATAATTACGTTTATGTTGAGTTTCTTTCCTTCTCCTAAGGAGAGGGGCGCAAAGCGAGGGGAGGGCACTGGTGTCTGTCTGCCGGCCCTCGGCGCCCCTGACTGCCGGCCACCCCCCCTCGCCCTCGGCTGCACGCAGCTGTGGCCCTGGGCAACGTGTAACCTGTGGCGCGCGGCTTCTGCCAGTCGCGGCACGCGGTGCGACCGCAGCGGCCTGCGTGCTCGGGCCCGGACCCCCCGCGCCCTCCGCCAGCCGCGTACCAGAGGTCCCTCGGGCGACACAGGCTTCCCAGGTGGGGTTCGAGTAGACGGTGATGGGCCATGCTTCCACCACCACCACCAGAAGTTGGAGGAGGAGGGGGTCCTCCTCCTCCTCCTCCTCCTCCTCGTCCTCCTCCTCCTCCTCCTTCCCCCCTCCAACTTCTGGTGGTGGTGGTGGAAAGCAGGCCCATCAGACGGGGTCGGAGGATCGCGCCGCATCGCCGATGCATCGGCGATGCACTGGCGACGTCGGCGATGCATCGGCGTCGTCGGCGTGGAGGACATCGGGCTCCGCATCGAGCCGCATCGCCGATGCATCGGCGATGCGGCGCGATCCCCCGACCCCATCTACTCGGACCCCATCTGGGAGGTCTAGAGGCGAAGGGTCACTCCCACGCGTAGCCGACCCAGGGAGGCTGAAATGTGGGGGCTGAGTCCCGGCGTCCCCTGTGCGGCTCGGGGCTCAACGCTGCGGGTCGGCGGCGGCGGCGGCCGCCCGTCGGACACGCGGGTGCCGCGCGCGCGCGAGCAGAGCTGCGGCCGCTGGGCCCGCGAAAGGCTGACTGGGCGATGTCCGCCGGCTCTCGCCGCCGTCGTCGTCGTCGTCGTCGTCGTCGTCGTCGTCGTCGTCGTCGCCGACGCCATCGTCGTCGCGGCCATTGTCCGTTGTCACGATGCCGTCGCCGCCGCCGTCGTCGACAAGGCCGTCAGCGCCGTTGGCCTCACTGTCCTAGTCATCCTCGGAGGACCCTCGTCGTCGTTCCAGTCGCCATCGCCCTGCCTGGAGGCGACTGGGGGGCCTCCTCCACCATTCCTTTTCCTTATAAATAACTCCTCCCTGTCGCACCCCGAGGCTGGTCGAGAGGGCGGGCCAGGCGTTTCGCCTGAGAGTTTCTTCCCACTTATGACCCTGAAGCTAAAACATTGGCAACAGTTTCACAGATGTAGGGCGGGTCGCTTCCAAAATGTGGCTCTCACCTTAGCGCCGCGCACATTCGTTTGACAAATTTGAGCTTCACAGATTGAGGGCGGGCCGTTTTCAAAATGTGGTTCTCGCCTTAGCGCCGCGCGCATTCGTCTCAACAAATTCTACAAGCTCGGGTGGCTCGATGCGGGCTACAACGTGGCCCTCTTTAACTCTAAGTGGTCCCAAGATAATCGCCTGCAGCGATTCATCTTCGCGGTTAGCTACAACAGCAAGTTGAATGAGCAGAGCGACGAAAACATCGAGCAGTGAGAAATGAAGCAGTTAGCAATGTTTTGATTATGCCGCCATCACCGCGCGAGTTGGCCGGCACCTAATGAGCGCAACCACCATCAGCAATCCTCGGCATCTGCGAGTCCCTGGATTGTGCACGTTTCGGGCCCTTCTGTTGGAGGCAGGCTTCGTGGTCGAGTTCGATATCATTTTCGGTCTTGCAGACAGAGACCCTTGCGGGCGGGACTCAATGTCCGCCTTGGTTCCCTGAACGTCCAGCACTGGACCTGGAGCCGGCTTGACACTCGCAATGTGGACAAAGCCGTTGGGTTGGTCAATTTTGCCCGGCGAAACAAGCTGGAAATCTTGGGGCTGACGGATGTGGGATTCACCACATCATCCATTGAGGTACTGGAGAGCACGGCGAGAGGAGCGAGGAGAGTATGGGAGGAGGTTGGGGACACCATCGTGGCATTAGAGGAATACCCTGTCATCTTCGGGACCAAGGTGGCTTTCCTGCTGTCGCCAGCGGCTGCGCAAATCTGGCGGGAGAGTGGTGCCCGAATTGCCCGGGAGCACGGCGACCGGCTCCTTCACCTCCAGTGGGACCTTGCTGGCCAGAATTTCGATCTCGTGGTTGGCCACGCACCCACCGGCCATCCGCGATCGCGGGCAGAGCTCTTCGAGCAGGCTGATTCCCTCCAGACGCAGTTGCGGGCCCGCGCAGGGCACGTTGGATAGGGGACTGGAACACACGGGGGTCTCCTCCTCCTCCTCCTCCTCCGCCGGCTCCGCCCCCTCCTCCTCCTCCTCCTCCTCCTCCTCCTCCTCCTCCTCCTCCTCCTCCTCCTCCTCCTCCCTCCCTCCTCCTCCTCCTCCTCCTCCTCCTCCTCCTCCTCCTCCTCCGACGTGCGGAGATAGCGCACGTCGGTGAGGGGTCCCACACCCAGTTTCCGCATCTCCTGGGTCGCCACGGGTTGAAGACTGGGCAAGAGCTGCTGGCGTGGATCGACCAGAGCCCGGTCGACATGTGTGTTGGCTGATTATTTCGCTTGGATCGGCTCGCGCGGCATCTGGCGAGTTCCGATAGATCGATCTGATGCTGACGAGTATCGACACTGGTACGAGCTTGACACGTTTGTCGTGCGCAAAGAGGTTGAGACATGGATGCATCGTTGGCGCACGCGCGTGAACGATTGTTTGACTGATTATCATGCTAAGATTGTTGACATGTGCCTGCCATCTGGACCACGAGAGGCGGCGAGGGCGCAAGGCCGGCAGCTGAGAGATGCTGCCGATCGCGCTGCTGCACAGCGCAAGCCGAAACCCTTGGCCACCAGTTTGTTGCGAGGCAAAACCATTGAGTCCGAGAGCGCACGCGGCCAGTGTGCACATAAGACGGACCCTTTGGCACAAGCTGCGCCATCACGTTGTAGTTGGCCACAGGTTGCGCGCATGTGTGTCGATGCCATGGAATATGTTGCGCCCCGGGGCAGGCAGCGCCTGGGAGTTCCCTTCCTTGACGGCCATGCGGACGAGGTGACTGCCACCCGACAGCGCCTCCGGTAGCTGGCGGATGAATGTCGGAAGGCACAGGGAGCCGGTGCGGATCTCGGGACTGGATCGGGGGCGCGCCTTGTCGAGGCGACTCCAGCTAGTGGCGACTCGGTTGTGGAGCGTTCTGACGAGGCGAATCCAAGCGGTGGCGACCTGGTTCCGACGAGGAGGAGGCTCCGAAGCAAAGGGCCACCGGCGGCCTCTCCCTTTCCC